AGAAGAAGAAGAAGAGGAAGAAGAAGAAGAAGAAGAAGAAGAAGAAGAAGAAGAAGAAGAAGAAGAAGAAGAAGAAGAAGAAGAAGAAGAAGAAGAAGAAGAAGAAGAAGAAGAAGAAGAAGAAGAAGAAGAAGAAGAAGAAGAAGAAGAAGAAGAAGAAGAAGAAGAAGAAGAAGAAGAAGAAGAAGAAGAAGAAGAAACAACCACCAAGCCCTCTTAATGTGTGAATGCTCTATTATTGTGTTGCCTGGATGAAAGCTACCCTCTTGAGCCTTTCATCTTCTTTGCTGCAGCAAAGGGACCACTTTAGTCTTAGTGTCAGCTGTCTGTTTTCTCCCTCTACAACTACCCCATGTAGGGAATCACTTTCCCAAATCCTCTTTCCATCACCAAAACACACCAAGAAAGAAGGAAAGAGCCCTTCAAAGAAAGCCACAAGGGGAAACAGCATACCTGGGCCCGAATGATGTCTTTGCAGCTAATCAGGGGCGTTTCCAGTTCATTAAGGGAACTCTTCCGATAATACTGATCACTCTGCTGTGGGAAAGAAAACTTTCACCATTTACATGCTGCAGCCCATTCTAAAAAATTGGGGTGCAAGGGTGGTGGAGGAATTGGGATCCTTATTTCCTGGGATCAGTCACTAAATACCTTAAAGTGAGCCAGTTTGGTCTAGTGCTTAAGGCGCCGGGCTAGAAATCAGGCGACCTTGAGGTCTAGTTTCCCTTTAGCCATGAAAATCAGCTGGGTAACCTTGGGCCAGTCTCTCTCTCTCTCTCTCTCTCTCTCTCTCTCTCTCTCTCTCTCTCTCTCTCTCTCTCTCTCTCAGCCCAACCCACCTTAGAGGGTTGTTGTTGTGGGCAAAACTGGAAGAGGAAGGAGTGTTGGATATGTTCACCGCCTTGAGTTATTTGTAAAAATAATTAAGGGTGGGATACAAATAAATAAACCATGTGGCATGGCAGACTATGGACCGTTTAGAAATAAGGTTCCCAAACTCTTCAGCTCATCAAACCCTTCATGAAGTTTGAAACTGTTGCTATCAGCCAAGGAAGGAGAGGATGCACCCATCCACCACCACCATCACCCCATTTGAGAATTCAAGAAGCAGCCTCTAACCAGCGAGCCCTTATAAGGGTTCTCCATCCTTTTCTCCTTGCCAAGTCCACCACCTCTACTATCACTTGAACATCCCACTCCTGTAGAACCTGGTGAGTGTGACCTCACAGACATCAGAGCTCCCTTCAATGCAGGTGAGCCGACAACATGGCGAAAGAGAGAAGGCAACAGATGCCAGGAGGAAAAAATTGAGGAGGAAGGGATTTCCTACAAACATTTTTCATACATAGAGGAGAGGTGGGATTCTGCCTGATGAATAAGTCAGGCTGTCAACGCTGTGACAAACCGAACTGAATCCATTTTCATTTTGTCTTGATTGCCACATATTTAGTTAGAAGGAGGAGGGGGGTGTAATTTTCAGTTAGCCAAAACAATTCATATGTATGGGAACCAAGGTCATTGCTGATAACATTTTGGAGGGTTGGAGAGCTGGGAGGAGTGCCTGCATTTTGCTGAATTCATTGGTGAATGTGATTTATGATGGCAAATTGGGGTGGGAATTGCAACTTGCAACTTTGTAACCAAGGGGAGGGGAATTTAGTCTTGGGTTCACCTTTGCAGCCAAATAAAAATGTTCTTTAAGGAAGAATTTCTTGCCTTGAAGTTCTTTTAAATGGTCTCATCTATCGGAACCATGACACAGGCAACTTGTGTACCAGCCATACATAGATTGGCAACACAATTCACCTTGTGTGATATCTATGGAGATTCTCAATCATCCAGGTCATAGTTGTCCCAAAGGTGCTTTTCAATAGGCAACTTGTTTTTTTCCTTGAAAAGGTTTCACTTCTCATCCAAGAACTGGAGAAGCTTCTTAAATGAGAAGTGAAATGTTTTCACAGAAAAAAACCAAGAAAGTAAAGTTGCCTACTGAAAAGCATCTTTGGGATGCTTTTGTGTGATGGGATTAAGAGGTATACAAGGATGTGCATGCAGCTACAGGATGGTGCATCTTGGCTCAGTCAGGATCACCTTGGTTGTGGGGGAAGATTTCCATGCTTTCCACAGTTGGGTACCAACAGATATTCTTTATGCATGCATGGTACCACAAATAGCAGAAAAGGCTTATCAGAAAAAGCTTTAACAGTGACATATCTAATCTCTGTTCAACCCTCAACATCCTTCTGGCTGTAGGCAGACAACATGCCTACTCCAGCTTCCTGAACCAGCTCCTTTTTTGAATTTGCATAGAGAACTAAATCATAAAATAACAAATTTGCCAATGTTTTTGCAATGCATAAACACAAAACCCCCCCACAAACTTTATAATTTAAAACTAATCAAAAGCATATTCTACACAGGCAGCTGATGGATGTTTCACTGGTTGTGTTAGGTTGTATGATCCCAGGCCATGGGTTCCTTGGGAATAAAGAGCTCATCTGAACCCCACTTACTGTTTCATTGACACCAGGTGATTAAGGCATGAGGCTACAAACCAGGAGACCGTGAGTTCTAGTTCCACCTTAGGCGTGAAGCTATTCTGGGTGACTTTGGGCCAGTCACTCTTTCCCAGCCCTAGGAAGCAGGCAGCAACCAGGAGACCATAAGTAAGTCCCACCTTAGGCATGAAACCCCCTGGGTGACTATGGGCCAGTCATTCTCTCTCAGCCCTAGGAAGCAGGCAATGGCAAACAACTTCTAAACGCAGGCCAAGAAAATTGCAGGGATGTATCCAGTCACCGGTAGTCAACACTGATTTGAAGGCACCCTCCACCCTCCAAAAAATGAAATGTTATGAAAGGACCTATAGATGACAACCAGCAGCTTGAACTGCAATTCTGAATCCAACATGTCATGGGGGCATCCTCAAATCCTTGCCCCACCCTCAAGTATTTCAACAAATAACAAAGGGAAAATCTATATTCTATCAAAGGTCAGCTTCTTATAGTACTCCCCGCTCCAAAGAAAATATAGCAAGGAACAAAAAATATAAACTAATACAGAAAATGTTCATGAATCTTTTTCCAAACTCATATTTAAAAAAGGCAAGCTGAACTACAAACATATATTTTAGATAAGAAAAATAACTTATAGACCAGCTCATGTATGCCTAGCTTTCCTATCATCCTTATTATAAGCATCTTCACATGAAAACCTTATCTACTTACCCTTGAAGAGCTTCTTAGGTAAAGGCTTATTCCTAAAGATAATTAGTGCAGAAATAGCTTTCTGGGTTTTTCCCCCCTCCAGTTCCACCTGGTGCTTAACTCACTTCAATCAGCCTAAAATGCTGACCAAAATTATAGCTGCAAATTACTGAATGTATTCCATTATAAATCAGTAATATAATGCCACCCATGTTTACTGTGCAGAGCTGTGATGAAAAAAAGAGAAAAGGCTTTTAGAAAGGAATATCTTAATGTATTTATTTTTATACAGATATAGCGGGGGGTTTTCCTTCAAGAGCTCCAGGTGACAGCATCTCGTTCTTCCAATTTTTCTCCTCAATAATCCTTCAGAGAGGTTGGCACGTGCACCCACAAGGGGTCTCAGAAAAGTCAAGATGGGGCTCACAACCTTGTGACCCAGGTCCCACCACTTTCCTTTGTGTGTGGCCCAGTGCACATAATGGGGGGGGGGCTTTGATTAGTTGATAATGCTGCCATCTTGGCATTGTAAATTGGGCCCATTTTAAATTTAACTTCATATCAGGGTGCCCATAGAAAAAGAAAAAAGAATAAGCAGACTTGCTTATTCACACATTGGCTAACATGACAGGCATGCTCAATCATGAAACATCCATTACCTGGAAACATAAGTAATTTCCAAGTTTTACTATTGCGGTTGACCAAAATTTCAACTTTGGAAATAGTCCAAGTGTGTTCCCTGGAAAAATTACTCCAAATTGAGTAAAAGTGGATTTTCTTTGGGTAGCCACACACAAACTCATTACCCAATCATAAAAAGGATATTTAAATAAAGAGTTTCTGATCAGCAGTTTAGGGTAAGGAAGAAAAAGGTTTGGGAAATACCGTCTTAAAACTGTTTTTGTTTTGTTTTTTTGCAAATGTTTCTTCCTTCTGCAGTCAGCTGAAGCTGCACTGATGCCTTTTGACCACACCGCGGTGGTAGGGAACTAAGAAACAGGATGGATGCCACTTTTGTAGATATGGTTGGGCCTTCCCAGGTTAGCCCACACAGTCCTGATCAAGCATGGGAAAAGCTGAAACCAAAGTCCATGATTCGCCAGTTTGGATCTTACAGTATGAAAAATAAAGGCATATCTATTTTAATTTCACCAAGTGGAACTCTTCAGAAGAGTTGAGATGATCACTCCCCAGATGTTCAGCTAAATTACGCCTATTTTTAGCAAGTTTATCAGTATGAACCTAGGATGGGATCTTTAATGTTAGCACTAAGCTTGGCAAATTAATTGCATAGGAATTATTCAGGGTTTGCACAGCCTGTGCTATTGTGAGCAAAGCTGGTCCCCACTTAATAATCCAAGTTTCTCTAAGTGGTTGCAGTTGAAAATCAAAAGCCTTTGAAAATAAGTCAGGAAATATTCTGAAGAAGGACCAAGGAGCCTAATAATAATAATAATAATAATAATAATAATAATAATAATAATAATAATAATAATAATAATAATAATAATAATGAATTGGTAAGTTTAGCAGTTATTCAAACAATCAACAGATTTATTTATTTAGAACATGAATATGTCTGCCCATCTTATAACAAACTCTGAGTGACTCCCAATCACAGAGACGTCTCACCCATCTTCCCAAAGAGATAAGCCACTTTCCTGTTGCCCCAAAAGTACACAAGGAACAGACCACAATGTTGTTGCCTAAGGTTGCTTATAGAGCTGCAGGTAGTCCTCAGCTTACAACCACAATTGAACCCAAGATTTCTGTTGCTAAGTGAGATATTTGTTAAGTGAATTTTGCCCCACTTTACGACCTTTCTCGCCCAACTTGATAAGTGAGTCACTGTAGTTGATGATATTGTGGGAAGTCAGAGCCCCAGAGAAGGAAATATTAAAAGAGCAGAAATATATATTTCCTCAAAAGTATTTTAAAAAAGCAGAAACCAACTTTGGCTCCAAATCTCTCTGCCCCAAGCAAGACCTAACCCATACAAATGCAGATGTAAAACCATTAGAAAGTTGAAGCCAGAGCAATCAAGAAGACAAAGAGAAAATCTGCATGCCCCACCCAAACTCTAGGAGTCATTAGCCCCATCACNACCTGGGAAGCAGGATATGATAATAGGATTAAACCACAGATATCAAGGCCTAGAAAAACACTCAGAAATAGCCTCAAAGTTCATGCCACAGGAACAGGAAACTATTCCAAACAGGGCTAGAGGGGGTATAAAAAACCTTCTACCCATGTGCTCTCTCTCTTTCTTCTCCTCTGCTCCTTCTTGCAAGGACCATCTTTCTTCTGCAATAAACTGTAACCTTCTTCCCAAAGCAGTCGCCATGTTTGCTTATTTATTCCCGGCTTGGATGAACCAGGATGAAGACTTACTTCTAACATTAGTGACACAGTTGTTAAGTGAATCTGGCTTCCCCATTGATTGTGCTTGCCAGAAGCTCACAAAAGGTGATCATGTGATCCTGGAGCACTGCAACCGTCATAAATATGAGTCAGTTGCCAAGCATCTCAATTTTGATCATGAGACTATGGGGAAGCTGCAACGGTCGTGTGAAAAATGGTCATAACTCACTGTTTTCAGTGCCATTGTAACTCTGAACAGTCACTAAATGAACTGTTGTGAGTCAAGGACTACCTGTATATACATAGATTGCTTCATTTGAAAGCAGGAGATTTGCTGCTTTTAAAAATATTACTCATCTTGTCTCCTAGACTCTGTGGGTGCACTATTCCCATTCCATATTACTAGCAAGGAAACCTGACAGTTACTAAGAAAATTACTTTTTATTATGTGGGTTATTCCTATTTGTTCTGCCAGAAATCAATTAACATTCTCCTTTTTTTTAACTTTCTGATACGAGACGGACTATAAATACATGCCATACACTGTGCCCAAGTCAAGAATGTGCCTGCGCATATTCA